TTCAATTCCAACTGTCTGACGCTTCGCGTTCATTCCCGATATTGCGTGTTCCTTTGCTGCGGTGAGGAGTGTTCAATAATATCAAATATTACTATTCGTAACAAATCCACATACTATTTTAGTTAGCACATTCCAGAAGTTGGACCCAGCCTGGAGATATTACATGAGATATTTGGTACCACGACCTCCATTATATTGATCGGTTTAATCATTCTTCTATTCTATAATTTATGTTTCTGTTATTAGAATCTGTATCTCGATATTTTCACCCTTATTCCATATCGTATTTAACAAAAGGATAGACATGACGATCAATAAGCCATGGAGGGGGCTCCGTTTAAAAACGAGGCGACGTACTCTTCACATGCTCGTTTGACGTGTCACCACGTGGCCAACATCCCGCAAAGCCCGCTAATCAGCTGGAAGCGCTCCCATCTGGCGTACTTCCACGCGTCCAAACCTCTACAGACTCCCACAAGGCCGTTCCTGGGCCTCTCGGAGCTGCGAGCTACGATCTACGAGCCACGAGCTCAAATTCATGTCGACTGAAGGAGGTTAGCTTGTCGCCGCGATCACAGCGGCGGTGGGTGGGTAGATAGTGGCCAGGAATCGCGTCAAGATCATAGCGTTGCGCGACAGAAACATATTACTTCCTGCAGCGACGACTGCCGAGGGTGCTATTTGCGTCAATTCGGGAACTCCCCACGTCGGTTTGACTCAAAGGAGAGTTGGGTGTGTACGCGGCGGAATAGGGGGATTCGTGTAACGCCTGGCGTTTCAAGATTGGCGCCGCTTATTCTCCGGGAGTAATTTTCGTTTGCAGGCAAGACGAGTGTCGTGGTGACGGAATGGAGAAGAGCCACGAGGGAGGGGAAGGAGTTGATGGGGGAGGCGCGGGGACGATCGGCGGAGCGAGGGAGAACCCTTCGAGCGGAGTAACGAATGGAGAACCGTCGCGTGACGGCGAAGGCGCAATTGGCGCAAGTGGCGCAAGTGGCGCTAGTGGCGCCAGTGGCGCAAGCAGTGCCAGTGGGGCAAGTGGTGGCGGAGGCGACTCCGAGAAGCGCGCAGGGAGCGCGGAAGGTGCAGGGCGCGCGGGGAGCTCGGGGAACGCGGTGATCGGAGGGGGAGCGGTGAGCGTGGAGAGCGGGAGTGAGAAGCGGGCGGGTGAGGAGGGGAGGGAGGTGCGCGTGTATGTGGATGGGATCTTCGACCTGTTCCACTTCGGCCACGCGCAGGCGCTGCAACAGGCCAAAGAGCTGTAGGACGCATGGGGGGAGAGTGGGGGGAGAGTCGGGGGAGAGTTGGGGGAGAGTGGGGGGAGAGTGGGGGGAGAGTGGGTGTGGGTAGGGGCATGCGCAAGCTCTGCAACAGGCCAAACAGCTGTAGGGCGCATGTGGGGAGGAGTCGAAGGAAGGGTAGCGGGAAGAGTGGGGCATCTAGGATTGGATGGACTGACTTGTGAGTGTAGTGGTGAATTATTTGAGTCCCCTTTTTTTTCATTGTGCTGATGCAGTGTTTCTTGTTTGTCCATCTGCTGTCTCACGCACAGGTTCCCGCGGACGTACCTTATAGTGGGTTGCTGCAATGACGAGGACACAGCAAGGCTCAAGGGCCCTACCGTGCTAACCCTCAAGGAGCGATGCCTAGCCCTCAAACACTGCCGGTACGTGCCTGCCTGCCTATGCTTTTCTCTGCTTTCCACTCTCTCTTCTTCCTTATTTCGCATTTCTTTCCCTCGGCTGCTCTGGCGATTGTTTTATATCTGTGAGAAAGTGCATGCAGTCCGTACGCTCGCATTTCCGTGCACACCTGCGGATTGACGCATTCTCTGCATGTTTGCATGCATGCCTGTGTGCACGCATGAATGCGTGCATGCATCCGCCCATGCTCCCCATGTGTTCATATGTACACATGCCCTTACATGTCCTTGCATGCGCAGGTGGGTGGATGAGGTGGTGGAGAATGCGCCATGGGTGCTCACAGAGGAGTTCATCGCTTGCCATGCCATCGACTACGTAGCACACGACTCCATTCCTTACATGTAAGAGTCTGTGGCTTTGTGCGTATGGGCGTGCATGTGCAAAGCGTACGGCTACATTCCTTTCATCGCCCGCCATGCCATCGACTATGTAGCACGCGCTGCATACCTTACATGTGCGCACTCCCACCTCGCCCACCGCACCCACCACGCCCACCGCACCCACCACGCCCACCGCACCCACCACGCCCACCAATCCCACCACGCTCACCACTCCACCGCTCCCACCAATCCACCTCTTATATGCCGTTGCATGATCCACCTCCACCATCCTCTTTTGAGGCGCCTCAAAAGTTATATGCTGTTGCATGATCCACCATCCTCCTCGTTCTCGCTCTCCTCCTCCTCTTCAGCACGTGCACCCGCCTCTCTCTGCCCTGTGCTCCCGAGCATTCCCTGTTAAGCAGAAACTGATTTCTTTCTTCTCTCTTTTTCCTCTTTTTTGCTTCCCCTCAAAAGCTGAAGTACCTACACTCGATCTCTCTGCCTGTCCCGGTGCTCCTGTGCTTTTCACGGCAGGCAGAAAGCAGAAGGAGGCTCTTCCAGCGAACCTCAAGACGTGTATGCCTATGTATGTGAGCCGTTCCCTGCTTGGTCTCTGTCATTTGAGGTTCACGCTGATTCTGATGATTCATGCTTTGAGCGTGCACAGGTCCTTACCTCTGTTACTGCCAGAACACCTCACGTCAGCCACAGATGTAGGCGTAACTCGTTTTAGTTGCCTTCAGCTACCTATCTCTTGTCCATTGCAACAGAGCCATTTTCCGTTGCTTTCCATTCCTATCCTGTCCCTCTCCCTCTCCCCCCCTTCCTGCTTCCCCATCTTCCCCTCTCCCTTGGCCCCCGCCTGTCCCACCAGGTGAAGAGCATAGGCAAGTTCATCCCCACGCAGCGCACGGACGGCATATCCACATCAGACATCATAGCGCGCATCATCTCTCGCAGGGATGACTACATTCTTCGCAACCTCTCCCGGGGATACTCGCCCTCTGCGCTCGGCCTCTCCTTCCCTGCTGTAATGAGCCTTCTCCTTGCCCTTGCTGCTCCGCATTCCTCCCTTTCTCCTCCTCTCTCCCACCCTGCTGTAATGAGCCTTCTCCTTGCCCTTGCTGCTCCCCATTCCTCCCTTTCTCCTCCTCTCTCCCACCCTGCTGTAATGAGCCTTCTCCTTGCCCTTGCTGCTCCCCGTTCCTCCCTTTCCCGTCGCCCGCCCTGCTGTAATAAGCTTATCTATACCGGCCCTGACTTTCAAGTCGACTCAAAAGTCAACCTGTCCAGGGGACACTCGCCCTCAGTGCTCGGCCTCTCCGGTCCTCCTGTGTTGTTCTATATATATGTAATATTTCACGCCTCCCACGCCTGTACTTCAGGTGTGCTACTATAAAGGGAGGCTCCTGCTTGCAGACGTGTACAAGAACATCCATAGAATGATCCAACGGCTGTCATGCCTCCCAGGCATCTCTTGGCTGTTCACCTCAGCATGTAAGTGTCTGTATCTCTCAACGGAATCGGGGGTGACGCTCTGTTTTGCCCGGGGTGACGCTCGGGGGTGACGCTTTCGGGAGCGTCACCCTGACCCGGGCAGAAGAAAACTAAACCCCGAAGCAACTGGCATGCCATTCGGGAGCCTAAACCCTAAAATTTTAGGGTTGAGGCTCCCAAATGGCATGCCATCCTTCTGGGGTTTAGTTTTTTTGCCCTGGGCAGTCTGTCGTTTTATGGTTTCGTCTTTGTCGTTTCCTCGCCTGCTACGTTCTGTTGAGATATACTAGGCTGTTCTCTCATTGCATCATGCCATACTTTTGAGTCTGCGCAGGTCTCACCATGTGAGTCTCTGTGCAGAATATAGAGTCGAATCAAGAAAAAACGACATGCCTTCCTAGTATACGTATCTAAGGTGTTCAACTCAGCATGTAAACCATTATTCATGTTGCCATCCTTTTTTGTCATGACGTTCTCTCTCTTTTTTGGGGGATCATCCAGGTTCAAGTTTTCGGGAACTTATCCTTCCGTTCATTGCCCTACCTCTTAGTCTTCCTTTCTTTCTTGCCTTCCCTGCCTCATGTTTTGCTCCCAACCCCCAACCTTCATGTTTTCCCACGACCAATTTCTGCTCCATTCCCCATAGCACCATCAGCAAAAAGCGACCATCCAAAGCAACAGTGATGGAAATCAGAGATCGCTTGTACTCCCACCACTGCTGCTACTGCTGCTGGCGCCGCAGCTGCCCCTGCTTCCTCTGCTGTTCCGTTGCCACTCATCATCACGCCACTTTCCGCCACCATTGCGTGAGCGTGCTGGTAACATCTCTACAACCAGCTCCTTAAAACACAAGTTACAGTCACTTGTGCTAGCATCTCTGTGTATAGTCATCCCTCTATCCAGAATTACGTAAACTTGTATAAATTCTTGATCCAGAATTACGTAAACTTTCCATGTAAGGATTAAGAATGCTTGACCTGCCGTCAGGAACCTAGCGAATGTGCATTGTATTACCGTATTACTTCCTGAGCAGTACACTCTCAGCTATTCATTTCCTGCTGGCTGGAACTTCACTCTTAGGCAGAGTGAAAGCTGAGACTACCAGACATACCGTATGAGCTGCAGCCACAGAAGCTACATGCTTTTTTACCGCAGCCTACACCCCATAGCGTTTGCTACCATTAAGATCTCCTTTTGTCCAGCAACAGCAACCTACCCATCACCCACCAGCCAAGAGGTTATAACAAAGCAAATCTTCAAACCGCCTCTCTTCAACCGTTTTTAACCACTACCTCTCTCATCATTGCTCTGCCCAGGAGAACAAGCCCTTTTTTGTTTAACCATGATTACTCTCATCCTTGTTCTACCCAGGGGAACAAGCCGAGCCGACGTAATGCACAACTTGCAAGCCCAAGTGGACCATCAACCCACATACCAACCAGCCAACCCCCACCAACCCACCAAGCCACCAACCTGTCTATTTCCGTTCTCTGCTGCTCACATACCCCCTCATGGAGCGTGCATACTCAAACACAGACACCATGCCTTCCGTCCAGATCTGAAACCATTCCTCTGAAGGTGCTCTCGCCACTATGGCCCCTGCAGAGGTCTCCATGAGAAACTCCCAGGAAGCTGCGTTGGTGGGTTCGGTGGAAAGTAACTGGGCTGTGTGGGGGTGATTTGTTTGGGGGGGAGGAATGGGGGAGAGGGAGAGGTGGGACATTGATTTTGTAACAATACAACTTCAAGGCGCCTCAAAAACTGCGTTGGTGGGTTCGGTGGAGAGCAGAGCAGCTGGGCTGTGTGGTGGTGGTGATGTGTTTAGGGGGAAGGCATTGGGGACAGACAGGGTTGGAATATTGAGTTTTATTACGAAACAAAACATGATGTATGGGCCAGATGAACGGAGGGAGAGAAGGAAGGCCGAAAGAGACTACATAGTGGGCTTTTGAAAAAAAAAAAAAAAGGTAATAAAAGGGCTAGGCAGCGGGCAGAAGAGAACTCATTGATTAGGTCTGGCGTGGGAGGTGGTGTTTGAGAGTAAGGGAGCTTGACGCTCGCATATGACATTTGCACAGCATGTGGGTCAGACCAACGGTAGTATTGTTCTGTTCTCGCCACAGTGTACGCCCTTTGTTACTCCTCCCCCCTAACCGTGAAGGTGTTGATACACACATGTGCATGGTTTCATTGAGAATGCATGCATGTATGCATGTGCCTAAGTGGGCACCCGTGCGCGCGCGCAAACACACACATGTTACATACATCCAGGTTCACACACTGTATCACTCAACACCCACCTGATCTTGCCACTTTTCCCATAAGTCCTTGCTTTTCCCATTTCAGTGACAACTGGACAGCGGGAGAATGAAGAAGAGAGGGAAGAAAGGGGCAAGTGTGCGTGAGTGTGCGAGAGGGATAGAGAGATAGAAAGGGAGGAGGGGAAGGAGAGGAGAGAGCATGAGAAAGTAAATGGTGGGTTAGCACATAAAAAATCCCACAACACCAGCATAGCCAAAAAATATCTCAAATCCTTCCATCCCCCCTACCCCACCCTCCATGTTTCATACACGCACCAATCCTCCATTCTCCACCACCACCACAAAGCTCCTCGACTGGCCTACTAAGAAAAAGCAAAAGCCACGCCAATCAAAGCGGCAGTATAACCCAGAAATCCCATCAACTCCCTCCCTCCCTTACCCACCCAACCCCCTTCGTTTCACACACGCACCGATCCTCCATTCTCCACCACCACCACAAAGCTCCTCGGCTGGCCTCTCCCCATCCCCGCTTTAGACAGCTTCACTAACGAGCACCCCTCCTGCAACGCAGCCAGCCAGAAACTAACTGCAACAATGTCATACTCCTTTCCAGCAGGCGTGGTCACGCAAGCTGACGTTAACGACTTGAGCCCCCCAACAGAGCTTTCTATCTGCTGCTGCTGCTGCTGCTGCTGCTGCTGTTGCGCCTGTTGCTGCTGCTGCTGTCCAGAGGAGCGGTCTTTCATCTGCCCGGACGTGTTTGAAAGTGATAAGGTCCGGCCTAATTCTCCTGGAAGCAAGGAGGCAAACAAGTGAGTGGAGGTCTGGGCAGCAGAAGCAGGAGCAGCACCAGGAGCGGAAGCAGCGTTTGCCCCTGATGCTGTTGCTGCTGCTGCGGCAGCAGTGCATTGAGTGCTACCCCTGGCGGCTGCAGCAGCAGCAGCGGCAGCTGCAGCAGCGACAGCAGCTTCGGACGCATCAGTTCCCCGGGGAACGTCGGTGGGGCATCTGAAGAGAAGCCTGCTGGTGGAGCGGGTTCGACGCTGCTGCTGCTGCTCCTGTGCCTGGGCGTTAACGTCAGGAGGCATGGGAAGCAGTCGTGGCTGCCGTTCATGCTGCTGCTGCTGCGGCTGCTGCTGATAGTGGTGTTGCTGCTGCTGCTTCTCTGCTGCTTGCGTCGATGATTGAGACGTCACGGTGTACTCAGATCGAGAGGAGTTAGACAGAGAGCTGATATCAGGGGACCTTTCCCCATAGGTGCCTGCAGGGGTTGGCATTGGCACTAACGCCGATGGCATGCCTAAAGCCTCAGAAGCATGATGCTCGTTCCCAATAGCATATGGTGGAAGGTTGGGATGTGATTCGGTGGGATTAAATTCGATCGAGTTTGAGCCGAACGGATTCGATGCATGCAGGGCGTTTGTCCCATAGTATCCATCTGCTGCTGCTCCTGTCGCTCCTGCTCCCCCTCCCCCTCCCCCTCCCCCTCCCCCTCCCCCTCCCCCTCCCCCTCCCCCTCCCCCTCCCCCTCCCCCTCCCCCTCCCCCTACCCCTCCCCCTCCCCCTCCCCCTCCCCCTCCCCCTCCCCCTCCCCCTCCCCCTCCCCCTCCCCCTCCCCCTCCCCCTCCCCCTCCTCCTCCTCCTCCTCCTCCTCCTCCTCCTCCTCCTCCTCCTCCTCCTCCTCCTCCTCCTCCTCCTCCTCCTCCTCCTCCTCCTCCCCCAGCTCCTCCTCCTCCTCTTCCTCCTCCTCCTCCTCCTCCTCCTCCTTTCCCCGCTGCTGTAGTGTGTACCAGTTCTCCCCGTAAAGGCTCCGCAAACAGCATCTCGCGCTTTAAATCCGAAACCTGGGACTCCGATCGCCGACCATTGGTAAGATAATTAATATGCACCGCCTCCATAGGCTCGACATGGGAGGTCTATCCGACGTAGCCTACCGGTATCTGATGTAGCCTATCCAACGTGGTCTATTCAACGTAGCGGCCGTAGAGAGCCCTACAGAATGGTAGTTACAGGAGTCAAGTATCAGTGGACGCAAACGTCGGCGTGGACGTTGATGTGCACGTAGACGGCGACGGAGACGGAGACGGTGACGGAGATGGATGTCGGCAAACGTAGACGGCAGCAGCACGGAGGCCGCAGAGCATCGTAATGGTGATAAGCGGAGGACGATGATAGGTGATACCAGTTCCTTTTAACAGTAATCCGTATTTAGATCAACCGCCACTAACCAATTGTCGAAAACTGTGTGCTTCGCTTCGCTAGCGAAGCTTGACGGTCGTCTACACAAGAGCAGATACAACTATTTTCTATGGACTAAAGGGAGCCGTGAACATGCGAGGTCACCTGCTCTCCTCTTCCCAATATCACATAGCTCTCTTAGGAGGTCAGAAAAAACAGACTTCAACTCGCTCATACGTTTCCCTGTTGAAGCAATCTCTCCTACACTCGCTCAATCTCTTCTCTTACGTTTCCGTGTAACGCTCTATCACCCCTCCCATCTTGACACATACGCAATAACAACATAGGCGTCACGGACAAGGGATGGAGGTAACAGGACGGCTAGTGGAAGCTATGGATGGATTCGAGGGAACGTCCAATTCAAGCCGCTGAAGGTCCAACGTCCAATCCATTGCGCTGCTCAGTCTTCAACAGACAGCAGAACTGTACAGGGGAGTACTCAGAGTGGCAGAGTTCGAACAAGCTGTGGTTATCGCCGTGCACCACCGCATCAAAATGCAAGGAAGCTAAACAGAACCGATTTGGATCTGTGAACAAAAACACGGACAACTTTTGGGATTGGATTGAACTGGACTGAGTTGAACCGAACTTCGGAATTGGCGGCAATGCATCTGACAGCATGACACGCCCCTGCGATTTCGACTAGACCCGATTTTCCTATTCCCTTTTGAGAAGGCCTCGGGATTGTCGATTGTTCTGACGGCCACCAATAAGCAGACTTCTTCCTGTTCTTCGCGATTTCCAGAGATAGGAGATACAGACCTTGCTGCATGCAGTTCAACAATTGAATCAGTCTGATTTAGTTGCTACGGCCCTCAATTTCAAGATAGCTTCCAGCATTCCCACTTGAAGGAATATGCTCTACTACTAACCCTGTCTTGTCTTTCCAGCCCTCGACTATTTTTTCAACTAGCTGCATAATCTTCTCTTGATCCGCCCTAACTGTGCCTTTCTTATTCCCTTCGCCCAACAGCAAGTAGTAGTTGAGATCGCAGGCCTCTGCAAGATGGTGGTAGCACGTGTTGTGGTAATCCCGAGGGCGAATCTCGAGCACGGAGGCATTGGAGGGCATGAAGATGGTGTGGGAGAGGCCCGCCCCGTGCACCGCCACCACCAGCCGCGCCCTCCGGAACAGCGCTCGGGCTGACAGCATGGGGCGCGGGAAGGGAAGGGGGAAGGGAGGGGACGAAGTGGAAAGAGGAAGCGAAATGGGGGGAGAAGAGTGAGAGGGCCGGAACAGGGCTTGGGCTGACAGTGGTACAGGGAGGTTTTTTGAAACATCTCCACCAAGGAATCCACTCGCACCTTGCAAAATGGGCAGCGACTTGCCGTAAACCACCAGGCGGTTGCCAAACACACGCCTCATGCTGGCCTCCAGGTCGCCCTCTCTCTCCATCACCCTCTCCTTGCCCGGCCGCCGCACCAGCAGCACCACCCAGTCGGCGGGCAGCAGAGCCATCTGTTGGTCGGAGAGCGGGGAGAGGCGGCGCTGCGTCCAGTTGCGGTGGAAGAGAGGCAACCCCTGCGGGTGCAGCAGATGCCGCCGCCGCAGGCTGTGCCATAGGCCCCGTGCTGGCACCCCGCAGTACTGCCGGGATGGCTGGGTGGCGTGGGGGAGAGTGGAAGGGGGTGGAGGGGGGCAAGAGGAGGAGGGAGGGTGTGCGAGATTGGAGCTGGAATGAGGGAAGGAGATGCTTGAAAGGGGTGGCAGCAGTTGCACACGAACCTATGTGTGCGAGCAAGCATGCGTGCATGTGTATGTTCATGTGTATGTGTACGCGTGCGTGCATGGATGCTTGCAAGGGGGAGAATATCAAAGGGTTGGGTGCAGAGTGCAGCAAGTGGTGAGTGAGTGGCCTCGACAAGCTCCTCCACAAGCTACTGGAAAAATTCTGTCTCCAAACATGAAGTCTCAAGGCGGTGACTAGCTTACCTCAATCAGCTCCTGGGCGAAGAAGATGAGTTGGTCTTCCACAGGCGCTACAAGCTGCACTCCCTCCCGTGAACCGTAAAGCAACCAGACGTCTCAAAATCCAATTGTGAGGCATCTACAAACAAGAAGTTTCAAAGTGGTGGTGACTGGCTTACCTCAATCAGCTCATGGGCGAAGATGAGATGGTCCTCCTCTGGCGCTATAAGCTGCACTCCCTCCCGTGATACGCCCACCAGCGGCGCCACCAAACGGTCCCAAACCCTCGCCTGCCAGCCACTCATGCACATTCACGAACATTCAATCCGTCAGGTGCAACGCGGTGCGTTCAGGTGCAGTCAGGTGAAACCCGGCATATGGTACAGCTTTCCCCCAAGACTTTTGCACCAGTCAAAGCCTGATCCCTCCCACACACATGCCCATACTGATGCCCACACCCTTGCCCACACCCGTGCCCACACACACACACCCACACACACACACACCCACACACACACACACCCACACACACAAACACACACAAACACATACACACACACACACACACACACACACACACACACACACACACACACACACGCACCTGCTTTGCGGACGAGATAATTGGCACACGGGCGCTGGAGAAAGTCGCGAGAACGGGGGCATGATGAGCGCGAGGTTGAAGAACTGAGGCACGGCCTCCACCAGCATGTGGTTGAACGCCAGCCCGGAACCCATTTGAGCCACACATGCCCAAACACATGCCCACGCTCATGTGAACACCCATGCCCAATCACGCATGCCCACACACATGCCCACACCTGCTTTGCAGACGAGATAATAGGCACACGGCCACCAGAGAAAGCAGGCATGATGGGCGCGAGGTTGAAGAACTGAGGCACGGCCTCCACCAACATGTGGTAGAACGCTAGACCGGATCCGTGCGCCCAGTTGATGGCCCGAGTCACCTTGTGCACTCGCGTGCTTGCAGGAAAGGCGAACTGGGAGAATGAGAGGTGGGGAGGGAAGCAGGGGAGGAGGGGTGTGGGAGAGGGGGTGGGGGTTTTGAGTCGACTCAAGAGTCACCTTTCACCTAGAGCATTCGCGTGAGCGCGCGCGTGTGTGTGTGTGTGCACGCGCGCGCGCGCGTGTGTGTGTGTGCATTCGAGTGGGTCGTAGTAGTAGTCACCTCTGAATAGCCCTGGCAGCCGTTGCACAATGCGCAAGAGCCTATTGTTGAGACGCTTGAAAAGGCATGTGCGTGCGTGTAAGTGTGCATGCATGCATTTGCGTGTGTTTAAGTGTGTGTGGGTGGGCGAGTGCATGCATGGGCATGTGTGGGTGAGTGGAAGGGTGCGGGCATGTGCAGGTGTGGGTGAGTGGGTAGAGATAGTGGTCAAGTCACCTCAGCATAGGCGTGGCGGCTGTTGCACGCGAACCTATGCGTGCGTGTGTAAGCGTGCGTGCGTGTGTAAGCGTGCGTACGTGGGTGGGTGTGTGCGTGCATGTACGAGTGAGAGTTGAGAGTATTAGTCACCTCGATATAGGTGTGGCAGCCGTTGCGCACGAACCTATGCATCCGTGTGTACGGGTGCGTGCATACTTGTGTGTACGCGTGCGTGCGTGTGTGGGTGGGTGTGTGTGTGCATGTGTGAGAGGGAGTTGTTGAGAAAGTGGTAGTCACCTCGACATAGGCGTGGCAACCGTTGCGCACAAACCTATGCGTGCGATTGAAGGTGAAACCAAGATTCGTCACAAACACGTGTTTCAGTCGAAACGTCTGGTGGTGGGAGTGGAGTGGGAGCACGAATGGCAGTAATGTTCTTGTTAAGGCATTGGATCACACATACACACTTGCACGTACGTACACTCAAACACGTGGTGCAATCAAAAGGTCTGACGGTGGGGGTGGGAGAGGGTGAGGGAGTGGGAGTGGGAGAGGGAGTGGGAGTGAGAGTGGGAGTGTTGAGGAGTAGGCAAGAACACAAAAACACACAATCACAGACGCACATACACACGCTCGTACACACACACAAACACACACTCATATGTACACATACATACATGCACACAGACACCAAAGTTTACGCTCACGGACTCCCACATGCAGACACAACCACGCACCCACCCAAACACATACACACAACCCTCCCCGCCAGTACACACACACACCTGGAAAGCAACAGCGTCACACAAAATAAAGTCCTCAGGATGAGAACACGTCAGGTTCGCCCTCAGCCCATCCTCCGCCTCCCCCTCCCCTTCCCCTCCCTCCCCGATTCCGCCATCCCCATACTCCTCCCTCCGCGAGTCTTTAATCCTGGGGCAGTTCAAAGGCGCGCGCAAGAGCTTCTTCTTATCCGCGGAGAGCTCGGGGTTCCAGCAGGCGGCGACGTTCCCGAAGGTGTCCCCGCAGGGGGAGAAGGCGGGGGCGGCCGTGGCAGCGCATGTGGAGGGGCGCGCGGAGGTGCGTGTTGAAGAGGTCCAGCGCGATCACGGGGAGCGCTGCGCTCTGCGCCGCCCACCCCAGGCGCCGCGCGGGCACGGGCATCCACGACGGGGGGAGCGGGCCGCGGGACTGGGGGAAGGGGGAGCGGCCGGGGAGATTGGGAGCGGGGGAGGCGGAGCGGATAGCTCGCCCCCCCGCGCGCGCTGCCTGCGCTTCCAAGTCGCCCTCATCACTTCCACTCCCCCTTCCGCTCTTCTCTTCCTTTCCGCCTTCCGCCTCCCCCTTCTTCCATTCTCTTCCCCACTTCGCTTTCCCCATCCCCTCCGCCTTCCCTCCCCCTTCTGTTCCCGCTTCCGCTCCCCCTTCCACCCCCCCCAATCCCTTTCCCGCCTAAGCTAGTTCCGCCTCCATCTCATCCACGCGCCCTGCCGTATAATGTTGCGCCTTCCCATTCCCCGCAAACTTCGCCAGAGTCAGCTGTCGCCGGAGAGCATGTCCTGCGACAGCTTCTGCGACAGGTTCTGTGACGAAACGCGTGACCGTTGTCGCAGGCTGTTGTTGGCCCGTCCCGAACGCGTTTTTCCTCTGCGTCGCAATGTGAGAAGCATCGTTTGCTGACGCGACGCGTTCGAGAGCCATGGACGGTACATGGTTCGCATTCGACAAAGATAGCGAATGTAGTAACGGATTAACGAGCGGGATTTCGCCCGCGCAAATACTGAGAGCGAGTAGCAGAAGCAGAGAGAGGCGAGGAAGCGTGGCATTTGGATAATGAGACATGACAACAACGAGTAGTCTTATCGCTATAATGATACCTTGTCAGTACACGTGGCCAAGTGACAGGCGAGGGGAATGGTTAGCTGTGCGGCCGAATTCGAGGTATGACTGCCTTTATTGCTCGCCAATGACTGCCTCACCATGGCGTACTGCCCTGAGACGAGAAATTGTTAATGCTGTTCACTAAAAGCCTTTGTGCTGCTTACCTGAAAGAGCATAGTGTGCACAATAATGTGATATCCATTTATTTGTTTGATAAGGAACGCCAAGATATTTTCAATGTGCCTCCCCATCGCCTGCTCTTATTTTTCCCAACTTTCAGATGGTTCATAATTTGTCATTTTTGACCACACTGTTTTTCCGATTCATGAAACTAATAGACAAGCAGAATAGCGAACTGTAACGAGGATTCCCTTCCACTGCAGTCCGCACCGTGTGATTTGCTCTCGGACCCTTGCGGTGGAACTGGACTGGAAATGCAACTTTTCCTCTTCTTGGTTTGCCCATCGCAGGGCTGCAAACGTGACGACCGTCAGTGTAATTGCCCAACCACCGACTGGACGTCACGTCACTTCACGTCACATCTCCCCTCTTGAACCATAGGGCGGAGAAGAAGTTACTGTACAAAGAATACAACACCGTCATAGGCTGCTGGAGTGTGTGGCGGTTGCATTTCACGGTTCCACGGTCCACCTCGGTTTCGTCGTCGAGCAGTTGTCGTCGGGCTAAACATATCAGGATCTGTTTGCCACGTGGAGGAAGAGTAGCCTTTCTTCTTCCTCGAGGTTTGGGGAACGGGGCACCTCACTGGCGCACCGTCTACCACCCAGTGGGTAGCTAGCAGGTTGTATTTCCAAAAGAAGTGCCCCTACGCGGTTCGCGTTCATCGTTTATACCGCTGCAAATGCAGTTGCTTGGAATTAGAAAGCGACTGACTTTTACTGCTCTGATTATTATTGAGGATAACGGGTGTACGCATCCATCTAAGTGATAGATCCGAAAACTATGAAGTGCGCTGGAAGGCTTGCTAGCCTTCGAGTTGTATCCCGTGTCATTCCACCACAGCCTTCTTTTCCACTCATGTGGAGCTTCATAACGAAACAATTGAAAAAATTCACAGAAAAATCTCGGACTTGGGGCGACCAGAGACCCACCCACTGCACAGCATCGGAAATCACGAATTTGGGCTGGCTGGCAGGCGAGCCCCTTCAATGATCTTGATCGAACCTTCCTGTTTCGTTCCGTTCGGTTCCACCTGTCATTCCGTCCAGGAAAGATTGCAAACTACCGTCGGGAAACCAGCCTCCATTACGCTCCGCTCCCCCGCTCCCTCCATCAGCAGTTCGGTCACCTGGCCCAGCCCAACCGTCTGTCTTGTAACCTATGCCTTCGACTGATACATCTCTTCGCCCATCATCAGATTATCAGATCCCATTTTCATTCCGTTCCGAGTGTGTTCTGCTGCGCGATCTTCCAGTTTCTGCATTTTCGCCGCAGTTGTTAGGTGCTGTTATCAACAGCCAGTTAATGACATATCCACTGGAAAAAAAATCCTATCACAGACCCAGCGCAGCAACTGCCAGTCTATCCGGCTGCACTTTCGGCTTCAGCGCCTCCTAGCGCTCCGGCGTAACCTGTGTCACGTCTGTAAAACCAGGACGGGTCCCATTTCACCCACTTTCTATAGCCAAGTCTTCTGGCAAAGGGGAAGGGATTGTTGACGGGAAACAGTGGTCAAGATAGTTCAGCACACAGCAGATCACTTTGAATAAAGCGGATCAGCGGAGACAGCCCAGATCTCAAGCGCGCCGCGTCTCAATCGCAGCATCATTGGCGCGAAGCGCAGCGCCGCAGCGCGTTGGCCGTGCCGTGGACCGCACTCGGTTCCTGTTCCCGTTCACACCCCTTTAAGATCTCCAGTCGTGCACCTTCTCGCCGTTTCGTCCGCCATCCGCCTTCCCCCCGCGTCGCGGTGTTACCCTCCGCCATGATTTCATCTCAAGCTCTCCGGATCCCCGGCGGGGCTGGCGCGCTCGGCGCGTCTGGTGCGTCCGGCGTGGTTGCTGCGGCTGGGGCCCCCTGGGGATTGACGGTCTCCCTGCCTGTGCCAGTGGACCGGTATATGGGAGGATCTATTCCAGTAGCGTACACAATAACGCGTACGAATCCATCCTTCGCAAGGACAACCGTTTCAGGTATGCGGAGAAAGCTTAGGAGCCGAGCTGTCTTCCCTCCCCTCCCTTCCTTCCCTCCCTTCTCTTCTCCCTCTCTCTGCCTTCCTCTCTCCAGCGTCCCTCCTCTCCTCTCGTTCTCCCCCCACCCACTTTCCCCCACCCGCCACCCCCCTTTTCGTCCCTACTCCCCCTCTCCCCTCCCCCTTCCCCCATCCCCTCCCCCCCTCCCTCCTCCCTTTCCCCTTCTCCGACTTTCGTACCCTTGTCATCCCTTGTCCTCGTTCTGGCCCTCGCTCTGCTCTACGAAGCACCCACCCGCCTATTTTCTCCTCATCCTAGCTCTACCCGCGCTCATGTTCTGCCCTCTTTCCCTTATACCCCCGCCCCGCCTTTTCTTCTTCCCCGCTCCCTCCCCTCTCACCCCCCCGCCCCGCCCCTCCTCCCCCTCCCCCTCCTCTCTCTCCCTCCCCCACGCCTTTCCCTTTTTCTGGACAGCAGTTTCGCACCTGAGCCAAGGAATCCGCGTTAGAAGCAGTGTAACCACGACCGCGCATGCTACCAGCAGAAGCGGAACTATCAGCAGCCCCTCTTCCCCCACCTTCGGAGCTCGCCCTTTCTCGTTGGAGACGCGGTTTCGAATCCCGGCGACGCCATTCGCGCCCCTGGTGGGGTGGGGGTCCGCGCGGAAAGGGGCTGCGCGGAATGGGAGCGCGCGGAACAGCCTGGCGGAAGGGCAGGGGATGGGGGAGGTGGTAAAGAGCGGAGTTACCCGCGCGCAGGAGAATTTGGATGCGTTTGTGCGGTTCACCCGCCCGCACACCATGATTGGCACGGTGAGTCCGTGGCTCGAATGGTTTGTCTGACTTGACTGACTTGACTGACTGGAAAGGGAACGTGCTTAGATGAGGCTTAACTTGGCCTAGAGTTCGCCCGCCCGCACACCTTGAGTGGAATGGTGAGCCGTGGCTTGAGTGGTTTGACTGACCTGAAAAGCACAGGACTCTGTTACTTGGTAACACAGTGACTTGAATGGTAACGTACATCTATGCGATTTTAAGTTGGCCTATTGTTCATCCGCCCGCACACCATGGCTGGCACGGTGATTCTGTGGCGTGATGGACTTTAATATGAACATACACGGATGTATTCTGAGAAAACTTAAAAGCATCACTGCTCGCAGTGGATTATTGGGGCTGAGCGGCTGAGCCTGTGTGCTCTTGTGACATGACCGGGATACATGAGGCTGATGCGCATCTGCTCTGCTTGCTGCTGCCTCCTGTTCGTCCCATTTTCCCGTGTCCTTGAGACTCCACAAGAATCATCTCCCGTCCTCCTTCTCCTCCTGATCGCCCAGCTTCCCCACTCTCCCCTCCCACTTTCCCCTCCCATTTTTCGCCATTTTTCGCCTCCTACGTTCCCCCATGGCAGACCATCAGCATCGTGTCCGTGTCTCTGCTCGCAGCTGCCTCTGTCGCGGATCTAAACACACGCTTCCTCGTCGGCCTCTTACAGGTACGCCCATCTGTTTCAGGTTCAAACAAGCGCAAGTTTAAATGATAATATCAGTAAAACATGTAAATAAGAAATACACGCACATGCACACTCACACGCACACACACACACACACATACATGTTCCCTGTGGGGCTTTACAGGCTTACCCCTCCGTTCGGGCGCTATGCGCACTGTGTGCAGTCCGCGCATGTACACTGTGCCTATCTGTGTCACTCACGCTGTAATTGCATATCTTCCATGTCTTTTGTCTGGTCACGTTTTTCCTGTTATCAGACTCGCGCCGTGCTTCCGTTTTACCAATTTCTGTCTAAGCTGCTCGTGCTATCCTTGCAGGCTGTGCATGCTGTCCCTGGCTGCTACCCCCCTCATTCTCGCCCCTTTAACCAAATCCTCTGGCTGTAAGCCATCCTCACTCCTCTTCTCCTTGTCTTCCCCTGGATGGTCTGGGCTCACCGACTCTAGGCGGTGGTACCGGCACTGCTCGCGAATGTGTACATTGTGGGGCTCAACCAGCTGTTCGACATTGACATTGATAAGGTGCGTGTGTGGGAGTGTGCTAGACCGTAAGTGCCTGCGTGTGTGCGGGCCTGAATGCGCGTGTGCACACATGTGTACATCGGGGCTCAACCAGCTGTTTGACATTGACATTGATAAGGTGCGCGTGTGGGAGTGTGCTAAACCGTAAGTGCCTGCGTGTGTGCGGGCCTGAATGCGTGTGTGCATGCATGTGCACATATGTTTTGAGACGTCTCATGCATGCATGTATGTGCACTTCTTCAAATGCGTGCGTGCACACATGTGTACATTGTGGGGCTCAACCAGCTGTTTGACATTGACATTGACATTGACATTGACAAGGTGAGAGCGTGGGTGTGTGTGGGTGTGCGAGTGTGTGGTTGAAGTGCTTACGTGTGTCCGGTCCTGCATGTCTGTGTGTGAGACGCTGGATTCTCAACGAGCTGGTTGACACCTGCGTCGACAAGGTGAAAATATGCGTGCCTTGCCCATCTCATATCACCTTCCGCTTCTCCCTCTCTTCCCCCCTCCATCTCCTCCTCTCCCCCATTACCCCCCCACACAGGTGAACAAGCCGTACCTCCCTCTCGCCAGTGGGGATTTCTCTGTGCGGACAGGCGTCACCATTGTCACTGTCTGCGCTGTCCTCGTAAGTTCATGCGTGTGAATGCCAGGTTTTGAGAGGGAGAGAGTGCGGGAGAGAGAGCGGGCGAGAGGGAGAGAGAGCGGTTAGAGAGCGAAGGGGTTTCTCCTAGTAAGCATCTTCATTGTCTGTTTGCGCAGCTGTTGAACGTGAGCATTCATTCCTGAACAAGTCAGTTTTGGATTCGCCTCAGAAAATGCTACAACTGTTTGTGCTGCCTTGCTGTCTGTGCGTTTCTCTGAGCACCAGTTTAGGGATATCTCTGTAGTCACCCAAATCTACCCCGCCTTCATCCCCCTGCCCCGATTAGAATCGCTTGTATCATTTATGAGTGGTCTAATCACGGTCCTAATCAGCATTCCTCCTCCACCCTTCATCATCCCTTCATATCCCTTCTGTTTCCACGCTTCTCACACACTCCTGTCCTCCCTAATCCCTCGCCCTCTCTCCCCTCCTCAACCAGAGTCTTGCTCTGGGCATTCTCTCGGGCTCCATGCCGCTTCTGGCAACGCTCGTCATCAGCATGCTGCTTGGAACAGCCTACTCCATTGACGTATGCTGCTCATTCCCCTCAGCTACATGGCAGTTGCGTTTACGAACTCTCAGAAGCAACTTTTCAAGCCTTCCACTCCCCCTTCTCCCTGCACCCACCTACCCCGCTCCCCTCTTCATTGCACCTATCCACTCCGTTCCCCCTCCTTTTTCCCTTTGATTTTTCTTTGTTTTATCTGCCTTATCCGTTTTCCCCTCTTTCTCGATAGGCTTCTCACTTCTGCGCCTCTTCTTTGCCGTGCCTTCACATCTCCCGTTTCTGCTTGTATGAAGAAGTGTTTCGAGACGTCTCAAAACTCTTCTTTGCCATGCCTTCACATCTTCCGTTTCTGCTGCCCCTCCACCCCCTTCCCTGTGCTCCTCCCCTCCTCCGCCCATCCTCTCTGCGCCTGATTCCCACGCCCTCAGCTGCCCTTCCTCCGCTGAAAGCGTTTCCCTGTCATGGCAGCATCGTGCATCCTGCTTTTGAGTCGACTCAAAGGCAGCCTCTGCTCTTCCTTTCCTCCCTCCTTTCCTCTCTGCGCCTCTGCCCCTTTCTCTCCACGCCCTCAGCTGCCCTTCCTCCGCTGGAGGCGTTTCCCTGTCATGGCAGCATCGTCCATCCTTGTTTAAGACGTCCTAAATCTCCTCGGCTTCACTTTGCACCTCTGCCCCTTTCCCCTCTCCACGCTCTCAGCTGCCCTTCCTCCGCTGGAAGCGATTCCCTGTCATGGCAGCATCGTGCATCCTGGCAGTGCGTGCAGTCATCGTGCAGCTAGGTTTCTACTCACACATGCAGGTACACAGCACACTGGCTAGTCCCGGTCCTTGTCCCATCCCACTCCGTGGCTGTTCTTTCTGCCGTCGACAGCTCTCTCACTGTCTCCAGCTGTTTTCCTTGGCTGTTTTCTGGCTTCAATGGGTGTCTTTCTTACAACCCACTTCCCAACCTCCCCCTCCCCTTCCCCTACACACACGCTGCCCCTAATGCAGATGGCAGTGATGCAGCGCTCCCTGCAGCTCTCCTCGCAGCTCATCTTCGCCACGGCCTTCATGTGCACCTTCTCCATCGTCATCGCTCTCTTCAAGGTATGCTTCCATGCTGCCAACACGTGAGTGCGCTCCTGTCCTCCTCTTCTCCTTCCCTCTTCCCCCCTCCTCCTCTCCTCACCGCTCAGCTTCGCCACAGTCTTCATGTGCACCTTCTCCATTGTCATCGCTCTCTTCGAGGTACGCTGCCATGCTGCCCTGCTGCCGCGCTGCTGTGCTTCCCACCTCCCCCATCCCCCCCCATCCCGTCTCCCAGTCTCCCAAATCACAGGATTTCCTAGATATGCAGTGGAGCAAGATCTACCTTTCATGCGCCTCAGAAACCCACCCGCTCATGCCTCGTTTTCTCATCTCCCAATCTACCAAATCACACGACGTGCCTGATGTGGAGGGGGACAGGGTCGGACTTTGGCATCCGCTCCCTTTTGAGGCACCTCAAAAGTAAAACTCTCTCGTGCCCCGTTTTCTCTCATCTCCCCATCTCCTGATCGTTTCCACAGGACGTGCCTGATGTGGAGGGGGACCGGGTTTTTGGCATCCGCTCTCTCAGCGTCAGGGTCGGCCAGAAGAAGGTGAGGGGGGGGCAGGCCTCAGGAAATAATAAGTATAATGAAGAGTACAAGGAAAGTATCAGGACCGTGCGTGATGTGGAGGGGTATCGGGTGGAGGGGGACAGGGTTTTTGGCGTCCGCTCTCTCAGCGTCAGGGTGGGCCAGAAGAAGGTGAGACAGGGGCATGCCCACACGAGCAGACTTGTCTGTTGCCTCCAGAATTTTGTCCTTGTGAGGCGCCTTCAAAATTGTCTCAGGGGGGGCAGGCACTACGCAAGATGGATTCAAGAAGCGAAGGGGTTCTCTTAAAGCTGTTGTCTCCGTCCCGCGGAACTGCCTCATCCTTCCTACCTTTGGTTCCTACCTTACAGATGACGTGTTTGACCCAGTAGATAACGACCCACGTCATCTGGAAAACTTCCCAACTCATCTGTACTGTACTAGCCGCGTGTGTCCCTCTAAATCGCATCTCAACACTCATCATGGATCGCCCCAAACCCCTGCCCTCGCCCATGCCCATGGCAGGTGTACTGGTTCTGTGTGTCCATCCTGCTTGCGTCCTATGCTGCCCCCACCATCATGGTGACTTTTGAGTCGACTCAAAAGTCAAGGTCTCCTCTCCCCCCCCCAACGGCAGGTGTACTGGTTCTGTGTGTCCATCCTGCTTGCATCCTATGCTGCCGCTACCATCATGGGTCTCACCTCATCCACGCTCTGGTCCAAGGTCCTCTCTGTAAGTTACCTACTCACTTCCCCTCCACCTGCTTCTCTACTTACCCTCCTAGCCTAGCCTCTCCCTCTCCAACTTCCCTACCCTCAAATTCCATGCTTTCCTCACACCGCTCTTGCTCTCTCTTCTTTCAGCTCAAATGTGTTATTGGTTGGCAGCTCTCAAACTGCGTCTGTGTCCCTCATTCATTTCCTCTGGCTTTTTTGTTTTCTCTTCACTTCTCGTGCTCACCTTGCGCTGGCAGGTGGTGACCCATGTGGGTGCAGCCACAGCTCTGTGGCGCGTGGCATCATCAGCAGACCTGTCGAGCCAGCAGGACATCACGGATGTATACATGTTCATATGGAAGGTGTGTGGATGTATGGCTGCATGGCCAGATGGTTCATGGTGCATGGTGCATCGTGGGTGGTGCATGGTCCATGGTCCATGGTGCATGGTGCATGGTCCATGGTCCATGGTTGCATAGAAGTTCGGAAGTGTACATGTCCATATGGAGGGTGTGGTGGCGGCGTTGATTTGTGGTTGCATGCATGGATGCATGGATGCATGGGTTTGTAATTGACGGCTCATTCATCTCCCTCTCGTCTTCCTCTTGGGCCTAAACTCATTCTCTCTCCGTCATCTCCATTCTCCTGTCTCCTTTTCTCATTATGACTGTTGCTCAACCCCTACCATTGTCTCCCTGCCTCTCCTCTCCACCATTCCCTTCTCCCGTCTCTGACCCTTGTCTGTCTTCCCCTCTCGGCTCCCCTCTCTACTCCCACTTTCATGTAAACCACTTACGTCTTTCCCGCTTTTTTTTTTCACTACTCCTCTTTCCCCCCACAATGCCCCCTCCACACAGCTATTCTACCTCGAGTACCTCTTCATCCCCGTCTTGAGATGAATAACCCAACCCGCTCAGCACTCTGCTAACACAGAGAGGCGCCTTGTTTTGAGGCACCTCAAAACTACACTCACTCACTCCCCCTCTCGTTCCCCCCACAATGCCCCCTCCGCACAGCTTTTCTACCTCGAGTACCTCTTCATTCCCTTCTTGAGATGAAGAACCCACTCGGCACTCTGCTGACAAAGAGAGGCGTCTTTTCAACAAGATCCTCTCATTGCATCGGCAGACCCAGTGCATCAGTGACACCATCATCTCCGCTACTATCCCACTCTTCCTACACACATCTCTTCCTGCTATTGTATTATGGACTTCACCAAACTTCACCAGATTCCACTCACTAGTTGATCCTCCTGTTCTGGGTTTCTTGGCTGGGAGGAGCCATGAGGCTGCTGCAATCATGAACGCTGTCGTGCCAAGATTTTGTTAGATTTTGCTGCTGCTTGTAGGCTGTGGTTGCTGCTGTATGCAGCCTCATACCTCCCCTCATCCATGCTCTTGCTTTGCTGGACCTTAACTAGTTTAATACTGTAGTTTGATTCAATGTGTGTGCCTTGCACATGAATGTGAATCCAATTGGTGAGCAATGTGCCTTCTCAAATTCATTCTGTGATTGTTACTATTCCAGAACCCTCTCCACAAGTTCACTACAGTGTTGAACATCCCATATATCTACCCTCGGCAATACTTTGCCTCGTACAATGTCCGCGCCTAAACACATCTCCCGTCACAAACAGACGTATACCACAGTACTTTTCTGATAACAGCTTTCCTAGTTATCTTCAAGTCCCAGTCTCCTCATCTGTTACCTTCATCCTGTGCTGCATCAGTCACCCACTTTCTGAGGCTTCATACCGAGCCTTCACTGTCCTTCCTGAGAGCAGCGTTGGGCTGAGAATTCTTCATCACCCTCCCCGCTCCTTCCCAGAACCAGCACTCCTCGACTCCCTCGCCTTGTAGACTCACCATCTCTCTGCCACCAAGTCCCACATAAAGTGTAACCTGTTCGGCTCTACCTATACGAAAGTACACCTCCTCGTCCTTCCCTCTTTCATTTCTTTTGGCGCCTCAAAAACAGACTCCCCGCTCGTTCTCCAGAACCAGCACTCCTGACACCCTCACCTCTTTGACTCGCCATCTCTTTGTTCCAACAAAGCCCACATGCAGCGTACCCTCCCTGATCCCCTTGGATCCACGCACGTACACCTCCTGTCCTGCCTGCGTCCGTGTGTCCGTTCCTGCTCCTCCTCCCCTCCTTTGCCGCTGCTCATACCTCGTGGCACCCCACATCTCTGCTGTATCCACATTATCCAGAGCTGCAGGGAGAATCCCCCCTTGGCTCGCAGCCTTGATAATGCCACCCAGTTCTCCGCGCTCCCTGCCGTTACAGTGTCTGTCAGAACCGGTGGAGACCCCACTGGCAACACAGGTTCCCGGCCGTACAGCAGGCTGTAGGGCGATTGGTCCTTTAGCGCTGCTTGCTTGCCGAACCTATATCCCGCAGCCACCCAGTGTAAGTCCTCGTCCCAATCACACGTCCGCTGCTTGGCATACATCCGGAGGCCCCGCGCGATAGCTGCGGTCTACATACGAAAATGTATTTTCGGGGGGTATTTCAGGTGCACACCCTAGGTCGCATGCTGATTGGGGAACGAAATGACTCTTTTCCAGAAATGAGCGCGCGAATGTTTCAAACAGAACTGGCGAATCCTGCCAGTCCATCCGGGCCCTGGTGGGAGGAATCCCACCAGGTCCCCCTCCTGGTGGAAAGGGGTTTTCACCAGGGCCGCACGCCGATGCCCGGTGTGTCGCGACCCCCAGCTGGGAATCGCACGCGAGAGGGAGTGCCCCGCCCGCTCCCAGGTCCCTAGCGAGATCCGGGCGGCGGAGCAGGCTGGCAGGGTGGTCCCGCGCCGAGCCCGGGCCACGCCAGCGCCACGCAGCGTGGTCCCAACCCCGCCCCCCCCCCCCCCGGGCCCAGCCCTGGCTCGCGAAACCCCTCGCGAAACCCCTCGCGAAACCCCTCGCTCTCCAATCCGAGGGCGAGGGCCGAACCCCGGCGCGCCGAGACGGATCCGGCCAATCGGAGCCGTTTCCGACTGGTCCGTCCCTCGGGAGAACCCTCGCGAGGCATTTCGCATGCGAATCCGCGCGTGCGAATGACAGTTCGGGCTGGCCGAAACGGATTCGGCCAATGGGAGCCGGTTTCGGAGCGACGGGCGAAGCCATCTCCGTGCTGCCCGAAATGGAGCCGGCCAATCGCCGTCGTTTACGAGCGTCGGAATGCTCGCAGGACCCTCGCGAACAATCGTTCGCGGAAAGATTAAATGTACGGAGCGGAGTGTACGCCATTCGAAAGATCAAACGAAATAAATCTTATTTTTTTTTCTTTATAAATCTCTCTAATGCATCGGGGAACCATTCAGTTGCGAGTTTACGTGTAATATAACGGAGTGTACTGTTAATTCGGGTGACCCTAATTGGTGTACCCGACCGTTGCCTCGGACCTCGGCGGTCGCGACGAGGAAAATTCTCTCTCCGCGGGAGTTGGCAGCCCGCTCCGAACGGGGCTCGCGGATGGTGTGCAACGTGGCGGACGTTGGATGCACAAGCTGAGAAGAATTGAACGAGAATGAAATGAGTATGAATGAAGTGAGTACAAATAGGAAACCCTAATTGGGTTGTACCCCCTATGGGATACCCCACTATAGCCTACACAAATAAGTAAGCTATATGTTCTGACACACCCCCATAGGCAAAGTGGGGGAGAACAAGGGGTCACAAGACCAGTCAAGCAAAGCAAAGCAAAGCTCAGGGTGGATCACAAAGTCACCACGCATTCCGAGCACAAGTTCAAAGGCCAGAAGGCCAGTTCACATGCAAGATCATATATAGAGGTATACAAGAGTCAAGTAAGCAAGAGCAAGGGTATATATATATGCGAAGGTACAAGCAAGGTCAAGAGGAGAGCAAGTGAGGCAAGACAGGCACAAGACCCAACTGTGTGCAGCAACGCTGATGATCACAAGGCGCAAGTGCCTTGGTGAAGACGTCAGCAGTGTTGGCCTCAGAGGCCACGTACGCAAGTCGCAACTGTCCACGCTGCTGTAGCTCACGAGCAAGAAAGTAGCGGAGAGCAATGTGCTTCGTTCTGTGCTCCAGTCGCTGCTCTCGACACAAGGCCAGCATGGCCTTGTTGTCTACGTACAGGACTGGAGGAGAACGAGGCTGCTCTCCAAGGTCGGTCAGCAGGTAGGTGAGCCAGCGTAACTCCTGTGCAGCCATAGCCCCAGCGTAGATCTCAGCCTCACAACTGGAGCCGAGAACAGAAGACGAGCGGGTAGCCCGCCACGAGACAGAGCCGGAACCAAGGCTGAAGGTGTAACCCTGTGACGACCGCTGCGTAGCCTGGTCGTCAGCCCAAGAAGCGTCTGCGTGCCCAGTGAGGACCACTGGACTGCGCCCTCCAAGCACTAGCCCCATGCCCGACGTACTGCACAAGTAGCGCAACACCCTCTTCGCTGCAGCCATGTGCTCTGGTCGGTGTCTCCCAGGAGCAACAAAGCGTGCGAGAATGCTAAGAGGGTATGCGAGGTCAGGTCGTGTGCAGGTCATCAGGTACATGAGGCAGCCAACAAGCTCTGCAAACGGGCCACTCGACTCTACGGACTCATCCGAAGGCAGAGCTGAGAGCGAGTGGCGAGTAGGCAGAGGAGTGGCCTGAGGCGAGGAGTACGTGAAGCCGAAGCGCTGAAGGACCTGCTGCACCATGTGTGACTGAGTCAGGGTAATGGTGCGGCGTGCTCTGTCCCGGGTGATCTGCAAGCCAAGGTAGCTGCGCAGTTCACCCAGGTCCGTGCACGTGTGTCTCTTCTGCAGCTCGAACTTCACGTAGGCGAGTCCAGCAGTGTCAGCTGTGGCAAAGACCAAGTCGTCGACGTACACGAGGATGTAGAACGGCGGCAGAGAGGTGTCGGTGCGCAGAAACAGCGACGGGTCGGCAGTAGAAGGAGCAAACCCAAGTGCCGCGAGCGTAGTCCTCAGTGTGTCGTGCCACTCACGTGGCGCCTGGCGGAGACCGTAGACTGGACGCCGGAGACTCCACTGGGTACCAGGAGGGAAAGACCCAGTGAAGCCAGGTGGGCGACGCAGCCAGATCTCCTCGTGCAGGCTGCCCTGCAAGAAAGCTGTGCTGAAGTCGAGAGAGTGCAGCTCGTAGTCACGGTGAGCAGCAACGTGCAGCAGAACCCGAAGAGTGGTCATCTTCGGGGTGGGGGAGAAGGTCTGAAAGTAGTCAACCCCCTGCCGCTGACTGAAGCCACGAGCCACGTAACGCGCCTTGAAGACAGGCGGAGAACCCGGCAGTCGCTTCACCCTGAAAATCCACATGCCACTGACGATGTTCGCCCCAGGAGGGGGAACAGCGTCAACGTAGGTGCCTGTGGACTTCCAGGAAGCCATCTCTGCATCCATAGCTGCCTGCCACTGAGAGGAGTAGGGACCCTCTATCGCCTCCGCGTAAGAGCGCGGAGTCGGGATGTCTGGTGCATCCGGGTCTCCCTCAGGGGCTAGCAGTACAGACGCGAGACGAGGTGAAGCGGCGGCCAGACACTGGAACTCCTCCTGCCTGTCCTCAAGGACGTCCGTGCCAAGGGCACACTCACCCCCGACGGACGGAGGACAGGCGGACTCAGATTCAGTGACAAGACGAGCAGCGTAGTCTAGACGACAGCGCGCAGCAAAGTCGACAAGCTCAGTGACAAGGGCAGACGCAGCAGACGACTCGAAGGAAGGGTCAGTGACAGCAGTAGCAAGGAGACGCGTGACAGTAGGACTGGCAGCACGAAGAGAGTCCGACTCCGGGTCGGCAAGAGCAGGAAGAGAGGAAGCAGGAGGAGAAGGCAAAGGGGCACGCAGAAGAGCAGTGGACGGACGCAATGACATCCGGTGCGTGCCAGGGACAGGAGGAGGACGCTGACGCGACCCGCGACCACTAGCGCGCTCAGTACGAACAGGCGACACAGGACGAGACGCAGGCTCACGACGCTCAGTAAGACCTCCAGTCGGACCAGCGTAGGGAGAAGGAGCAGGCAAAGGGGAGGCAGGCTGTAGCTGTGGCTGTGACTGGACAGGCTGCGGACCCTCTAAGGGAGGAGGAG